GATTTCATCTCACTCCAGTCAGAATGGCAATCATCAAGAATACAGGCAAGGGGCTGGGGCTGTGGCTCAGGCGGTAGCGTGTTCGCCTGACATGAGTGCGGCCCGGGTTCGATCCTCAGCACCACCACATACAAAACAAAGATGTTGTGTCCGCCGAAAACTAAAAAATATATATTAAAAAATTCTCTCTCTCTCTCTCTCTCTCTCTCTCTCTCTCTCTCTCTCTCTCTCCTCTCTCTCAAAAAGAAAAAAGAAAAGAAAAAGAATACAGGCAACAATAAAGGTTGGTGAAGATGCAGTGAAAAAAGTAGACTCATACATTGCTGGTGGGACTGCAAAATGGTGCAGCCAATACCGAAAGCAGTATGAAGATTCCTCAGAAAACTGGGAATGAGACCACCATTTGACCCACCTATTCCACTCCTTGGTTTATACCCAAAGGACTTAAAATGTGCATATTATAGTGACGCAGTCACATCGATGATTATAGCAGCTCAATTCACAATAGCTAGACTATGGAACCAACCTAGGTGTCCCTCAAGAGATGAATGCATAAAAAAAGGTTGTATATATACTCAATGGAATATTAGTCAGCTTTAAAGAAGAGTAAAATTATGGCATTTGCCAGTAAATGGTTGGAGTTGGAGAATATCATGCTAAGCGAAATAAGCCAATCCCACAAAACCAAAGGCCAAATGTTTTCTCTAATATGCAGATGCTAAATCACAATAAGGCAGGGGACACTAGGGGAGAATAGTGTTACCTTAGATTAGGTAGAGGGAAGTGATGGGAAGGAAGAGGAGGGGATGTGGGAATAGGAAAGATAGTAAAATGAAACAGACAAATGAAACTATATGTATGTATGTGACTACATGACCAATATGATCCCACAACATGTACACTCAGAAAAATGAGAAATTATATACAATCTATATATCAAATGTATACCAAATGTATATCAAAATGCATAAATGCATTCTACTGTCATGTATAACTAAACTAATTAAAACAAAATATTTTAAAAAATGGATAGTATAAAGGAAATGTTTAAGATAAATTTGCACTTAATGTAACTATTACTCAAAGCAAAAGTGACAAAGAAAAACTTTGTGCTGAAAATAATTCCTAAATTTATTTGTTCCCTACCATCATGAAAAACAACTCCTACAAACTTAGTTGCAAAGAAAAAAGGAGCGCACTCACCTCGACTATAGAGTGGGCTACTGCTCAATGGGGGTGGAACAGCGGGGTTGGGTTTCTGTGCCTTGGGCTGCACTATGATTTGGTAACCCTGCATGAGGCGCTGGCAAATGAACTCTTCAAACACCTGTTGGGCTGTCATCTGCACACCATCCTCATCCCTCCTAAAAAAAAAAACCAGATGATTGTGCACATATGTGTTTGGCCTTGGGAAGTGACACTTAAGAATTCATAGTGTGAAGTCCTTTACTTCATCCCAGACAACCATCATATGGCATTTCATAAAATTATCAATTTATAAATCAGTCTGGGAGAAATGATAAGTTCAAAGGCATGGAAAAAGAAGGCAAGTAATAATCAATGGCCAAATGAGTAACCTTAGAAAAGAAGAAGAGATTTAGTATGCCCAAAATAACTGCAAAAGAAAATTTGAAATCAAAGAGGAGAAATTGTTAATGTCAACTTGAAAGAAATGAACAGTTCTTGCATCACAAAATCTCCTAAATATAAAAGAATACAGATTTAAAATTTCAATATTATGATGCATTTGTTTGTACATAATCAGAACCCTCATAAACAAAGCTGAGCTTTTTTTTTTTTTTTAATCATGATAGACATTGAACCCAGGACCTGTGTGTGCTAGGCAAGCACTCTACCACTGAGTCACTTAGTTACACTCCAAGGACTCTGAATACCTTTTTCTGAACCAACCTGTCCATGTCTGCTTCCGGCAGGAGATCATAACAGCCTTCCGTATAGTCATTCTGCAGGCCCTGGCGGTCGGGGAAGTAGTCGGTGGTGAGGGGGAGGCATGCCGGAGTAGTGAGAGACTTCCAGTCCACTCCAACTGTGCAACAGAAGCCTGGCACTACAGGGGGAGCAGACAGTGTCAGAACTGCCTCGCATAACAGGGTAAAAAGGTATGTGTGGTCACCATGGCAGGTTTGGGATATGGGGGAAGAAGAGGGAACAAGGGTGAGAAAACAGTTCATAGTAAAAGGTAATAAAATTGCCAGGATAGGGAAGGAGAAGACGAAAGGGGTGGGGGAGGGAGAAAGAGAAAAGAGAGAAACAGATTTTGTTAGACAATGCAGTGCACATGCTTCTCCAATCCCATCATGCAAGTGGGATTCGCAGCTGATATATTATATTTTCTGCTGAACATGAGCTACAGCCACAATACCAGTGAGGTTACTGCAGGGCAGGCAGGATTACATGTCCAAGCAAATCAATTTTCTGAGAGCAGATGAGAGGCTCAGGCTGGAGCCCCTCTGGAGGACTGCAGAGTGGCTAAGTGGGAAAGGAAGACAGCTGAGCCTGATTTGACAGCAAAACAGCATACAGTCACAGAAATAAGTTATACTTTTGAGAACTGCAAAAGATCCAAAAGGGCAGGAGAAAAAAATAAGGGAGGATATCTGGGAAAGTTTTGAGGCTGGAACTTTAAGAGACAGAGTTAGACAATCCAGTAAAAAAAGCTGCAATAAGCAGAGTGGGCCAACCACATGGGTCTGTCTAGAATTGTCTGCTCTTCAGTTAAAGCAAGATTTCTCAATCTTGGAAACATTGACACTTCAAACAGCTAATTCTGGGCTGAGGAGGGCTATCCTCAGCATTGTAGAGTGTTTCGCAGCATCACTGAACTCTATACACTAGGTGCCACGGGCTCCGTCTAGTGGTGAAACCCAGAAATGTTTGCAGATAGTGCTACAAGTTCCCTGATACTGCCCATTTGAGAATCACTGAGGGAAAGTAATTAAGTGGTGCTTTGGTTTGGATGTGGTTTGTTCCCCAAGGATTTGTTTTGGGGGGGTTGGTCCCAGTGTTGGGTGAGGAGAAATGTAAAACCTCTAAGAAGTAAAGCCCAAAGGAGGTGATTAGGAGCATGCCCTTGGGGAGGGATCAGGGAAGCTCTGATGGGATCTTAAGATAGTGCTTGAGTGTTCTTGGTTCTTCTAGCCCCTCTCCATACTCTGGTTTCCTGTCTTTTCAGATGATCTTTCCCTATTGATCTTTTCCACATGATCTCTCATTGTGAGCCTTTCACTATCATGTAATGCATCTGAGGGGCTCTCAGCCAAGCTAACATCATGTAGCTTACAATTTCAGCTTCTCAAACTATAAGCTAAATAAACCTCTTTTCTTTATAAAGTTATTCCACTTCAGGCATTTAAGTGAGGATTATGGTAACTTTTTTTTTTTTTCAGTACCAGGGATTGAACCCAGGGGCACTTAACCACTGAACCACATTCCCAGCACATACACCCCCTTCTTTTTTATATATATTTTATCTAGAGACAGGGTGTTGCTGAGTTGTTTAGTGCCTCACTAAGTTGTTGAGGTTGACTTTGAACTTGCAGTCTTCCTGCCTCAGCTTCCTGAACCAGTGGAAATAAGCCTCCACACCTGTCTTAATCTTTAAGTAACATCTTTTTAAGTAAGGATTATTTTCAAAGTCTCTATAAGACAAGCAATATGGAAGAAAAAATTTTGTGCCTTTGCCTCTGGGTCTTGAGTGGGCTTTTCACAACTCATATTTATATAGTGATTACAGCTAATGACATGGTTGCCTCATCTGCCCTCACATCACCCTCACATGGATGAGGAAGACCTGTGTGCTAAATCACAGTGAGAAGATGTCCCATGTAGCACCACTGAAGTGGGGAAGATGATTAAACTCTCTTAGGATCACCTTCATGGTCTACACAGTCTTATTAACTCATTAATACTTCAGCACAGAATAGCCAAAATAATCACCCCAGTTTCTCCATTGTAGACAAGAAGCTAAACTTATTCCTACTTCCTAGATAGATACAGGAGAATACAGAAATCTGATCAAAGCCATGGTGGGGAGATCAGGAATAAAAGTCATCTACATCTTTTAACCTTGTAAGTCATGCTGACCCTCATCAGCCTACCAATCCTTGGGGTTATAAAAAACCTATAAAAATGCTTTCTGCTGGGCACACACCAAAATACACCAAAATGCCTGGTCCTAAAGCCCACATTGAAAAGGCTTCAGAGTCTTAGTTTAATGATGTTCTTCCCTGGAAGAAAAACTGTGGCCTCTTGTACCCCGTACATTCTGGTCCTGAAAGAAGGCCTCTAAGTAGATAACAAAATCCATCTTTTCATTGCTGGCAGCTTTTTAGAAAATAATCAATCTGCCAGTCATAAACCGAAAGAAAAAAATATACCCTCTGCCATTCACTATACCTTCATTATATGCCATCACTAAAAAAAAATTGGAAACCGTCTAAATGGTCACACATAAGAAATGTTTATTCTAACCAACATCTGTAATATGCTTCATAGAGGAATTAAAAATGACAATTTAGGACCTAAAGAAATAATAAAAGGATTAAGTTAATCAAAAATGTAGACAAAAAGACTCATTGATGTATATCCATTGGTCATAGTCAAGCAAAATGAAGTTTATGAGGTGGCAGAATTTTTTTTTCCTGCTATTTTGTGACTGTAGATAAGATGTTCTCTTACTGTACATCTATTTAAGTTGACAAGAATGGCCAAAATGAGTACAAACTATCAAATATCGTCATCTACAGATGTGTAAGGAGTTCCAGTAATGGCCTATTATTTCTTTGCAATTTTTTTCTAGAGCCATCATTAGGCATTTAAGAGCTAATGCCAGATCTAGATTGGCACAAGAGGCCTATGAGTAAATCTGTTACCTTTTCCATGTGCACTGAATTACATTCTGAAACAGGTCTTGGGCCACACCTCTCTCACTTCACATCAGAGAAACCAAACAAACCTCCCTCACTCGTTGCTTTCCTGTACCCCACAGAGTATGGACTTCTAAACCATTCTCTTCCCACAGGGCTTTTTCTTGCTTCCTCATGCTCTGAACATCCCATAAACCCTAACATCCACCTCCTGCTAGCAGTTGCCCCCTCTTACTTGGGTCTGGAGAGGTAGAAACATTGTCCTCTAGAGAATCCTTATTTTGAATCCTAGGATTTGTACCTATGGAAAGATAAAAACAGCTTGTCTGAATGAAGCTCATTTTGCAAAAGAGTTCTCACAGTTATAGTTTTAAAAGGCTCCAAATTCAAGCTAAAAATAAAAATGATAACTAACTGTCAATTCTAGGCTAAGGATTTCAAATAGTGCAAAAGGATCAAAGAAAAAATGAACAAAATAAAACTTGGGAACGAATCAGAACTTTAAGGTTTTATTAATATCATTCTTTGCCAAATGAGACTTTTTAGCAAAGCAACCCACTAATTTTTTAAAGAAAATGAACACATTACGAAATCATTTCAACTAATCACAGTAATTTTTAGCAAATCTAAAAAGACCTATTTATATTTAGTCCACTCATAATTCATCTTTATCTACTAGAATTCCTCCCCAAATCATGGCTTTCTAAAATATGACATAAGACATCAAAACTCACTATTTTAAGAGAATAACAATAATTCTACCTACAACTGGGCTGAAAAGGAAAACAGACATTCTTTGAAATGCTACTTACTGACTAAAAAGTAATAAAACTAATTTTAAAACACATAATAGTACTTATAGTACCATAAAAAGAATTGAAAAGATCCTCAACAAACTATCAACAGTGGTTATCCCAAAAAAGAAAGCTAAAGATGGCAGAAAGTAAAAGAGAACCTGTGCTTTCTACTCTAAATCCTTTTGTGTTATTTGAATCTTATTTTATAATGAGAACAACTATTTATAAATTCCTTGTGAAATCTTAGGAAAAACAAGCTTGAGAGACAGCATGCACAAATCATGTTCTCTGGGAAAGAACTTATATCCAGAATATTCAGAGAACTCTCACAACTCAAGACCACAAAAACTCAAACCCACTGAATAAATGGGTAAAAGATTTGAACAGACAATTTATCATGGGATAAATGAAGGTGAATGAGCACATACAAACGTATTCAACATCATTAGTCATTAAGGAAACAGCAAATTAAAAGCACAATGAGGGGCTGGGTCTGTAGCTCAGTGGTAGAGCATTTGCCTAGCATATGCGACACTAGGTTCAATTCTTAGCACCACATAAAAATAAATAAAATAGGGGCTAGGGTTGTGACTCAGTGGTGGAGTGCTTGCCTAGTATGTGTGAAGCACTGGGTTTGATTCTCAGCACCATATAAAAATTAATAAAATAAAGGTTCATCGACAACTAAAAATATTTAAATAAATAAATAATATGAAGGCATTCTGTTTATCTACAGCTACAAAAAAAATAAATAAATAAAAAAGCACAGCGAGATATCTCTATACACCAAAATTAATGATTAAAAATGACTGATCGGGGCTGGGATTGTGGCTCAGCAGTAGAGCACTCACCTAGCATGTGTGAGGCCACATAAAAATAGATAAATAAAATAAAGGTATTGTATCCAACCATAACTAAAAATAAAAAAAATATTTTAAAACCATGACTTATCAGGGCTGGGGTTGTGGCTCAGCACTAGAGCACTCACCCAGCAGTTGCGAGGTACTGGATTCAATCCTCAGTACCAYGTAAAAATAAATAAATAAAATAAACCTAAAAAAAAATTATTTAAAAAATAATTAATCATAGCAACTACTGACAAAGATGTGGAGCAACGAAAATTCTTATACATTGCTGGTAGGAATACTAAATGATACACCACTTAGGAAAACAGTTTGTATGACTTACTCCCACTAATATGACTTTACATAAGAGAAATGAAAACTTATGCTCATACAAAGTTTGTTGATGCAAAATTATGTCAATGTTTAAAGCAGCTTTATTCATAGTTGCCAAAACCTGTAAAAAAACACAAATGTCTTTCAAATGGTGAAGAGATAAACAAACTGCACTATATCCACACAATGGAATACTACTTGGAAATAAAAAGTAATGAACTACTGATGTATGCAACAACTGGATGAATCTCAAATGCATTAGATGAGTGAAAGAAGCCAGACTCAGAGCTACACAGTGTATGATTCCAACATGCTGAGAAATATAAAACTAGAGGGACAGAGAATAGATTTATGGTTGCTAGGAGACAGGAAAGGGATCAAATATAAAAAGGGGTTGTGGCTCAGCAGTAGAGCACTTGTCTAGCACGTGCGAGGCACTGGGTTCAATCCTTAGCATCATATAAAAATAAATAAAATAAAGGCATTGTGTCCAACTACAACTAAATATATACATACATATATATATACACACACACACACACGTATGTGTGCGTGCGCGTGCATGCATGCATATGTGTGTATGTGTACATATATATTTTTTAAGTAAAAAATTTAAAAAATAAAAAGGCAACAAGAAAGAATTCTGGGGATTCATGAAAAAGTTCTATATTTTGATGTATTTGTTGATGGGTATGTGGCTCTGAATTTATCAAACTCATAGAACTATATGCTAAAAAGAGAAAATTTTACTATATGTAAATTTAAAATATACCAGCACAATGGTATATACCAGTATTTCCAGCTACATGGGAGGTTGAGATAGGAGGCTAGCAAGTTCTAGACTATCTTTGGCAACTTAGTGAGGCCTTGTGTCTAAAAAATAAAAAGGACTGGGGGCATAGTTCAGTGGCCGAGCACCCTACTACTACTACTTCAAAAAAAAAAAAACAAAGGCTGGGCTATAGTTCAATGGCAGATTAGCCCTAGGTTCAATCCCCAATACTGCCAAATAATGTTTTTAAAAAAACAGGAAGAGCCGGGTGGCACACACCTATAATCCCAAAGGCTCAAGAGGCTAAGGCAGGAGCATCCTGAGTTCAAAGCCAGCTTCAGCAAATTAGCAAGGCCCTAATCAACTCAGTGAGACTCTGTCCCTAAATAAAATATAAAAAAGGGCTGGGGATGTGGAGTTAAGCACCCCTGGGTTCAATCCCTGGTACCAAAAAAAAAAAAAAAAAGACAGGAAGGAAGGGAGGGAGAGAAGGAAAGAAGGAAGGGGAAAGAAAGAGAAGAAGGAAGGTAGAAATGAAACAGAAAGGAAAGGAAACAATCTGTGCAATGCTCTGGTCCCTGCTGGGGACCACAGTGAAAAATAAGTGAAGGGCACGGCTCTGAGGCCACCACCAACCACACTCAAAACCAAATTCAACAGTCAGGAGAGAAACCCACAGAGATGTTACTCTTATGAGTCAGGATTCATGAATCATGTTCAAATGCAGAAGAAAATTTGAATCATACTTAAGTATCTGGGTTTGGTGTGATCTGTCAAGTCTGAGGAGGTAAAGGTAGAGTCACACATGAGGTTTTCTTTTGTCTTTTCTGGTTTTTTCTTCTTTTTGTTAATAAATGAAATGTGAACCAGATGTATGCTTACACTCCATTCCACCTCATTCCAAAACAAGGACTCTATATGGCAATCTTACCCTAAATGAACCCAACGTACATTTGTTCCTTATAACTATTCTGTGAGGGGCAGATGAGTGAGGATCTTTGCGCTCATTATGTAGATAAAGAATCTGGGGCTGGGGATGTGGCTCAAGCGGTAGCGCGCTCGCCTGGCATGCGTGCGGCCCGGGTTTGATCCTCAGCACCACATACAAAGATGTTGTGTCCGCCAACAAGTGAAAAATAAATATTAAAAATTAAAAAAAATAGTTTAAAAAAAAAAAGAATCTGAGGCTCCCTATAGGTGTACTTCAGAGGTAGAGTGTTTGCCTATCAAGCTTGTGGACCTACATTTGATCATCGTCACCACAAAAAAAAAAGAAGGAGGAGGAGGAGGAGGAGGAGGAAAAGGGCAGAGGAAGGAAGGAAGGAAGGAAGGAAGGAAGGAAGGAAGGAAGGAAGGAAGACAAAGGAGAAAGAAAAAAGTAGGAGCAACAGCAACAGAGGCTCAGCAAATACTGAAAGCTCAACTCAAAGGCTCGGATCCATGTCACTTTCATTGCAGCACAGTCCCCCATCTAACACATCCTAATTTAGTAGAGATCCAGAGGGCTTTCCTTTCATAGCTGCTACTCTACATGGGAGCTGCTTCAAGTAGAATCCCAAAGGAATGACAAGCCAGAGCACCCTGAGGTCTGGAAATTTGGTATCTTATATGTAAATTTAAAATATACCAGCACAATGGTATATACCAGTAATTCCAGCTACATGGGATGTTGTTTCTTCTCAGAACTTAGCACAGTGGATAGAGTTAAATAAACATTTTGGGGAGGGTTAACAGTTTGAAGATAGCAAACCATATTCCATGAAAATTGAGGACAGTTTGTAAAGAAAGCTACTTAAAAAGAATGCCAAGGGCTGGGATTGTGGCTCAGCGGTAGAGCGCTTGCCTAGCACTGGCAGGACCCAGGTTCGATCCTCAGCACCACATAAAAATAAAGGCATTGTGTTGTGTCCATCTACACCTAGAAAATAAATGCTTAAAAAAATTTTTTAAAAAAAGAATGCCCAAGTCCTTGAAGAAACAAATCCTGTTTAATTGTTCAACAAGGTTTAAGAAAAGCATTAGAAGAAAAATTAAATCATGCTTCAGTGAGAAAAAGCTTACCTAAGGCTTCTAGCATTCACTCAACTATCTACTTTACCATATGTCTACCAACTATCTCCATGTGTCAGAACTGTTTTAAGCTCTAGAGGTACAGCCATAAGTAAAACAAAAATCCTCATCCTCATGGATCTAACAATAAGAATATAAAAGTAAAAAAAAAAAAAATCTAGTGTGTCAAGTGATGATAAGGAGAAATATTAGGTAGGGAGGATACATGAAGAATTCTGATAGGATACATGAAGAATTCTGACAGGGTCTTGCTGAGTTGTTTAGGGTCTAGCTAAATTGCTGAGGCTGGCTTTGAATTGGGGATCGATTCTCCAGCCTCAGCTTCCCAAGCGACTAGGATTACAGACTTGCACCCCTCTGAGCCCTTTTTATTTTATTTATTATTATTTTTTTTATGGTGCTGGGGATTGAACCCAGGGCCTTGTGCATATAAGACAAGCACTCTACCAACTCAAAATCTGACTTCTATTTTAGAATGCTCACT